TGAAGGCCATATTGTATGAACTACAATGAGAATGTAAATTGAACTAGAATGGGAATGTGCATTTTTTCCTTGACAAGTATTGTACAGAGGTCTTGATAATGCTGGCAAAACAACTGTTGTCAAGCGCTTCTGTGGAGAAGACATTAGTACTATCTCACCAACATTCGGCTTCAACATCAAAACAGTGGAGCACACTGTGGATGATTATGAGTAAGTATTCTTAAGTCGTAACTTTCCATTTTGGCTGATGTGATTTACTTCATTCAAAGTTTAAATTCTTCTAATTTTTGATAGGCAGATTAATTACAGCAGATTAATTCTCAATTTCTTAAATTCAGCTGGCTAGTTCATGACAAGAAAAGCATCATCATTTCATTCATACTTCAGCTAAAAGGCATTTAATCTTGCTTCTTACTGGGCAGTGAGCCGAAAAATGTGCACGAGACCCGCGACGGAGCCCTCATTGTGGAATTACAAAGCAAAGCTCAGAGTGAATCCATACTAAACATAAAGTCATTAGCAGCTGTTTTTGTCACCGTCAAACCGCACGGTGCAGTGAATGAAACAAAAGGAACCATCTACTACCGAAATGGGCCTAAATATCCAGTCGAAAAACTACAAGAGCATCTTAGCCACTATAGCGTTAAATCAATCTACCAAATGAAGAAGAAGTTGCATCGAACCCTGGTGGACCTCACGTTATATGTCTTGACATTCGCAACATGCAAGCTCCCAACAGAGGTGAAGATCGGGTGGCACCGCTGTGCTGTGAGCCTGTGAGAGAGTACATCTCTCGTCCACGCCGATGCTATAAGTGCCAGCGCTTCAACCATGGAGCTAAAACATGCCGAGTGACCACTGCTATATGCCCCAGATGCTCTGAAGATGCACATGAGTTGCCGTGTCTCCGACCGGCTAGATGCCCTAATTGTGGAGATCCCCATGAAGCATCATCACCTGAATGCTATCACTACAAACTTGAACAGGAAACGCTGTCAATACCAGTAAAACAAAAACTAATGTATAGAGACGCGAAGCGTCAAGCGAGTGCCATTGTCCCACGACCGGGCACCAAACTGAACAGTATACCCATATCCTCGATACGGTTCCCTAGCGGATCCCCACGACCAGAGCCACCAGACATCCCGAGAGACAAACGCCCAAATGAAGTTCTGTCACTGCTCGCTGACCTCGGGTCGGCGTACGCGGGCCTGCAGGAGAGCATGCTGGGGCAATTCATTCCTCGTTCCCCAACTGCATATAGTGTCATCACCTACTCGCAAGCTGCTCAGGGCACTCCAGGCGATGGCCTGATGTGTTTCATTGGCAACAACCGAGCTTTTCAGCGCATAGCCATCCAAACTCCACTCCAAGCAGTCGCGATGCGCATCCAGCTGCACAGTATACAATGTAATATTTATATTCCTCCCATATTCCCCCTTCTTGTTTATGACCTAGTGCAGCTTAGCCGCCAACTTCCGCCTCTATATCTAATCATCGGAGATTTCAACGCCAGAAACCCATTATGGGGTGATACAACTTATGAACAACATGGAGAGGTCGTGGAGCAGTTCTTGATAGAGGCTGACCTTTGCCTCCTCAATACAGGAGCCGGGACGCGATTCTGCTCCCAGTCGGGGGAATCGTCGGTTTTGGACTTATCCCTCTGCTCCCTCGATATCGTGCTGGATCTAGGCTGGCGAGTTATGGATGATCTACATGGTAGTGACAATTTCCCGATCATCATTGATATACTTCCATGCCCTCCTGTGCATCGAACTCTGAGGTACCTGTACGACAAAGCTGACTGGGAGGTCTTCCGACGGCTCACACAGGTCCCCTCTGACAACAACCTAACCTGCAACCTTCCCGTTGCCCAGATGATCGAGAAGCTAACATCTCTGAATCGAGCAGCAGCTAACTGCGCGATAACCAAAACACAAGACACCAGAAACCGGCCAAACCCATGGTGGACGCCCGCATGCACGCAAGCGAATCTAGAAAGAAAACGAGCACTTAGCCGCTTTCAACGATCCGGCCTGGTTGCCGACAAAATCGCATACAGCCGAGCTCGGGCAGTGGTGCGGAGGGTAAAGAAAGACGCTCGCTCTGAGTCATGGCGGCGATATATAGTATAGTATAATATAGTATAGTATAGTATCTTCGGCATTAAAGAATAGGCCTGGATAGGCCTGTCGCCGATTCTTGTACTTTTCTTGATTAGACTGGCCTTACGGCCGGTAGATTTAAAATCGCTTCTAGATATCAGCCTGTCTCTTATACACATCTAGATGTGTATAAGAGACAGGAGCACAGGAGTTCGGGACCCCAACACCTGTGGACCAAGTCGTTGCTCCCCCCCCCCCGCACCGACAGAAAAACCAGTCTCCTCCAAACCCTCAACGACCCCAGCACCCCGCCGATCATCGTCTCGCAATGCCAGACGCCCACGAGAACGATCTTAGTCAATTGGAAGTACGGTCAAACGGCATGAGGCTTCGTCTTCTTCCGTACTTACAGACTATCCCATGCCACCAAATTTACCTACCTTTCTACCTCCACCGATATCGAAACTAAACAGTATACCCGTAGTATCCTCGGTACGGTTCCCTAGCGGATCCCCACGACCAGAGCCGCCAGACATCCCGAGGGACAAACGCCCTGCAGAGCCCCAGCGGTGAAATGTCAATATTGCAGTGGAATTGTCGCGGATACCGAGCTTACTCGAGTGAAGTTCTGTCACTGCTCGCTAACCTCCGGCCGGCATACGCGGGCCTGCAGGAGAGCATGCTGGGGCGATTCATTCCTCGTTCCCCAACTGCATATAGTATCTTCACCTACTCGCAAGTTGCTCAGGGCACTCCAGGCGATGGCCTGATGTGTTTCATTAGCAACAACCGAGCTTTTCAGCGCATAGCCATCCAAACTCCACAGACTCATTACAATCTGTAATATTTATGTTCCTCCCAGATTACCCCTTCTTGTTTATGACCTAGTGCAGCTTAGCCGCCAACTCCCGCCTCCATATCTAATCATCGGAGATTTCAACGCCAGAAACCCACTATGGGGAGACAGAAATTAGAACCAACATGGAGAGGTCGTGGAGCAGTTCTTGATAGAGGCTGACCTCTGCCTCCTCAATATAGGAGCCGGGACGCGATTCTGCTGGCAGTCGGGGGAATCGTCGGTTTTGGACTTATCCCTCTGCTCACCCGATATCGTGCTGGATCTAGGCTGGCGAGTTATGGATTATCTACATGGTAGTGACCATTTCCCGATCATCATTGATATACTTCCATGCCCTCCTGTGCATCGAACTCCGAGGTACCTGTACGACAAAGCTGACTGGGAGGTCTTCCGACGGCTCACACAGGTCCCCTCTGACAACAACCAAACTTGCAACCTTCCCATTGCCCAGATGATCGAAAAGCTAACATCCCTGATTCGAGCAGCAGCTAACTGCGCGATACCCAAAACGCAAGGTACCCGAAACCGGCCTAACCCATGGTGGACGCCCGCATGCACGCAAGCGAATCTAGAAAGAAAGCGAGCACTTCGCCGCGTTCAGCGATCCGGCCTGGTTGCCGACAAAATCGCATACAGCCGAGCTAGGGCGGTGGCGCGGAGGGTAAAGAAAGACGCCCGCTCTGAGTCATGGCGGCAATATGTGTCGGGAATTAATGCGGACACGCCCCCATCGAAAGTGTGGAACAGAATCAAGAAGATGACTGGGCGTTACCGCACACAACCATCTCCGTTTCTTATGTACCTACAATGGAGAACTCGTCGCTGAACCCCGCGCTTGTGCTGAACTCCTCGCAGACCACTTTGCTTCAGTGAGTAGCCGGGAACGTCATACGCCAGCATTTCGCCGCCATCGCGACAGAATGGAGGCCTGCCCCCTGGATTTTTCATCAAATGATCCTCAGCCTTATAACGAACCCATCACCATGACTGAAGTTAAAGGCATGCTGAAATGCTCCCGCCCAACAGCCCCTGGAGCCGACCAGGTCACCTATCACATGATTCAACACTTGCATGAAACAAGCCTTGAGTGGCTTCTCCATATCTATAATAAAATCTGGATGGGAGACTTGTTTCCTGATGCGTGGCGGCAGGCCGTGACCCTTGCATTCCTGAAACCAGGAAAACCAGCATCGGAGACGTCCAGCTATAGACCTGTCTCTTATACACATCTAGATGTGTATAAGAGACAGACCATACACAGATGGCTGATCCGACTCTCTGCACGCCAGAAGACAGTTACCTTCTGTTGGGTCCCCGGTCATGTTCGGGTGGCAGGCAACGAAGCCGCGGACGAGCTCTCACGCAATGCGGCGGCTAGAGAGACACCGCACTGGAATGAAAGTGTTCCCCATCGAGACCATTACCCAATATTTCGCAAGAAACTGCTGGACGAGTGGTAAGAAGAGTGGACACACCTTGAAAATAACAAACTCCGCAAAATTAAAGAGGACATAAGGCCTTGGCCATCATCGTCCCACCGCGTACGCCGGGTGGAGGTATGCCTCACCCGCCTCCGCATTGGACACACTAGAATCACCCATGGCCATCTCATGGAACGCACGCCTGCACCTTATTGCATGGATTGCTTAGTGCCCCAGACCATAATCCACGTTCTCTGTGAGTGCCCATCATTTGGTGTGGCCCGACGGCAATTTTTCCCCCATCTAAGCCAAAACGACCCCGACACACACCTAAAAAGTATTTTGGCCCAACCAGAACACGGTAGCTATAATGTCGACCGCCTCGTAGAGTACCTGAGAGCAATAAACATGTTCGACTGTATATGATCTGGTCAACGACTCAACGCTGAATACATGTGATGCAATATGTTCTTAGCCCATAATGTCCAACGTGACATTCGGCGCGAGATAGCTTAGCAGCTGAAGCGCTAGTAATCATAGGGTCACTAAACTAACATATTGGCAAGTTGTAAAAGCTTTGGCGAACTACTGATCTAATGAAATAACGGCTCCATAACCCTGATTATTTGGCGGCAGCTAGCATGTCGGAGTGGGCGTGAGGTGCGGGCGCTGGACGTGTGTAGCCTCATGAACGAGAGGTCACTTCAGTCAGCAATGAAATACGCTGCTAAGCTCGGCAAGTCGCTGCTCGCAGAATCAATATCTGAAATGTGTGGACAGCGTTGCAGTATTCGGCACGAAAGTCAGCCTCAAAGTTTTATTTCAAGCAGGTATAGTGAAGATTCTCGTAATTTGTTTGCATCTCTCTTTATTTTGCTGTGTAGACACGGTAATAAAACTTATAAAAAACTCAAAAATAGGAACCTATCAAAAAAAGGTGTACATTTGATTCTTTATGATTAAGATTTTTTATTAGATATCTTGAAGCCATATCGGAGCATGATCATACGATATTAGATTAGTTTTAGTTGAAATTAGGATGGAACGGTCATGGTTTCAAGTTGCCTTTGATTTTATACAAATAATATTACCTACTTAAACTGGAAAATTGAAACACGTTTAAAAATGAATGGATCTAGAAGAAAATCTCGATGAACTGGTAAATTAGCTTTGAGGGTCATCCTCAGGGTGTCCGACTTATTGCACGATTGAGTATACTGGCGAAAAACATGCAGCTTTTCTATTTAATAAATTGGTTAACGATCAAGGAAACAGCGTTTCATTTGTTTTTTTTTTTTCCTGAACAGATACTCCGAGAAGAGCATGCAAGAGACCACGCTTTTATCTCTACCGTCGCAAGGAACTCAGCCTCTGAGTTCCACTCTTACTTCTGAGTCCAGAGCTGAGGAAGACGATATCATTGAAGCAACTCCCTCAGGTCTTCTTCCTAGGGAAGCAAACTCAAGTACGTTTTATGCTTGTCGAAAAATCAAAAGTTTTTACATTATTATTGACCTTCAGAGAGATGTATACTTTTTACAAAAGCCTTACTGACGAAAATAGCCGTTGAAGTATAGACGAATGTCCAATCATAATGAGATTCAAATTTTTTTGTTTTGTTGCTAGATTTTAAAATTATTTCCATGTTACTTCAGGCAACCCACTTTTGTTTGCTGCCAGTCGTCGCTCCAGGTACGCTTTGCCCCTTGACTCGTCCATCTCGCCTTCTGAGGCAAATCCTTTCAGAAAAGCTGCTTCGAATGTATCCTCAAATATGGACCAGAGAAATGCAAAGAAAGCACTCGAAGTCCTTGATGAGTACAGACCGAAAAAAACAAACTCTGCACCGATTCTGCGACCTTTGCTCAAGAAAAAGGTAAATTGGTTTATTAATCCATGTGAATCATGGTACAAATATAGCGGCTTTTGAATAGAATATTTTTTGGAATTAATTTCTTGCATGTCTTCACTTTGAATACCGGAATCTATTTAAATTCATTTCCTAAGGCATTGTCTGTCGAGATCCGTCAAAATGAAAGCATAGCATATACCTGGTTGCTCAAGTTGTTAGGCATAGACTGACTGCCGTCATGTGTTGCCAGTGATCTCTCATCCTACACGTGTTGCTTTTCTGCTTTATTGGGCCTAACTGGCGAAGTTTGTAAGAAATGTTCAGGATTTAGTAATTACTATTTTTCTACTTTGGTTTCAGAGCAAAACGGAAAGAAAAAACGTAGGCGAGACCTCACAATCCAGTTGCCAGCCTACTCTGGAGTCAAAATTTTCGAATCTGGTTCCTCCGAGTGATGGCAAAGAAAACAGAACAGATGCAAATCATTCTTTGAAAAACAATGTAAAAATTAATGAATCAAACGTAGAAGTCAATGGATTTGGTGTTAGTGTCCGAACAAGTCCAATGTTCAAGACAACATCTGCGATGTACTTGTGGTGGGCTGACAATGAAGAACTTGTAAATGAACAGATCCCTGGAACAAATGACTTCAAGAAACTTCTTCCCAAGGCTGCAATACTCTTCAAAGATCTTGCAGATGAAGTAAAAATGGTAAGAATTTTATAGAAATTAATTTTGATAATATAAAACGTTAGATGTGCAGTTTTCATAGTTTAATCCGTCTGAAATTATTTTGTTGGTTTTCTCAAATTGTTATATATGCTAGGAAAATCATGAAGATAATTATATAGTTCAATTATCTTCATACTTTTTTCTGACATTCATTATTCGTGATCGATTAAAAACTATGTGTACATGTTTGTACAAAAGATTAATTACCGTCAAATTTTCTTATTATAATGATCTCACAATTGCACCTTAGAAATATAAGAAGTTGGCTGCCGAGAACTCCTCACAAGAACCGTCTCCCGAGGCCAAGCGCAAGAGGTCGGAGGATTGTCAAGACGATGGCGGCGAATTAAAAAAATCCAGAGCAAACTCCACGTCGGAAAAACTTGCTGCCTTTGCCTTCAAAGGGACTGCATAAATTTAATGTTATTTGTTTTAGTCTTAGACATTCGTGAAGAAACCAATTTTTAAAACAGAATTTACCTCGCGCTAACATGTGCTCATGTGGTTTTCTACAACAGTTTTAATGTGTTCAATTTTTTAGAGATTCGGCCATTGTCTTAACTTACGAGCTTTGTTCCTGCACTTCGGTTCCGCTTTATTTCGGACTTTTTAATACACTTTCTCGGTCTAAGGTCGCGTTTTTGTATAGAATAATCCTGTTTGAAGCATTTGGCTTAGAATTAGAGGAATGTTTTGCAAGGTTGTGTATCATTGCTCAAGCTGGTGTGGTAAATTGCTGGGTCATCAGCAGCATTGCGGTATTTTGTTCATAGGTTCTTCAACAGGGTACTTCAAATTTTTTTTGCTTAGGTACACATTTGAAAATATTGAAGAAGAGAAGAACTGCAAGATCTGGGGCGATTGGGCTCAATATGCAGCGCTTGAAACAGGATGCGATAAATCATGCCTAAGAATAATCCTTTCGCACATATATTTCAACAAGTAACTCCGCGTATAAATGTCTCTAACTACCATATTCTAGAATACATATACTTTATTATAGATTAAAACAAAATGCTTTCATTGAAAACGCAAGATGAGTAGTGGTGAACAGACATATTCGTAGATAGTTTTACAAACCTCGTGAACGTGTTACTTGAGGATTGCATGAATGAAAATATTGATTTTTCTTGAGTATGCTTAAACACGGTGCATAAAATGATACCTTGATCACTGAAATAGATATTTATTTCGGTTCGTTAGCATAATCGTTTCTTATAAATACTATAATTAAATTTTTGACGTACTATACTCTTTTCACCCTTGATATAGAAATACTCCTAAAATATGACTTCACACTCCATATTTCGGGTGATCGTAATTTTCACTCCATATTCGGGTGATCATAATTGTTAACATTAATTCGAGACTTCCAATTGCCACTAACGTCTGGAAAGATAATCGATTAACGAATAGAACCGAGCAAATGAAACAGTAGAATATAATTTTCAATCAAACTCTGAAAATTATACTAATTATTAGTATTATATATACGGTACCAACAATTCAAACGGTGATTAATCGTGCTCAATCCGCACGCGAGTGTGTTGTCCACGTGCGCGGGAATGTGTGCAAATTTTAATTTGGAATGAATAGTTTCTGATGACGAAGATCAGATCAGAATTCTGATCAAATATGGAACATGTCCTAAATCAATCTTGAAGCTACAACATACATAATTCAGAATTGATAAATATTTAATTACAACCTATTGATTAACAGTTCCCTGAATTAACTCTCAACTTAGATAAAGCAAAGTGGTGCAACGTAATCATTTTTTGTAAATTTGGTAGTGTAAGCAACTACTGTAAAGAGCAAAGCTGACTCTGACTATTCTCTGTAAAATGGTTAACATCGTATGCTACCAACAATAATATAATCAATAGAAGGAGAAAAAGTTGCAGCAATCACTCGATAAAATTCTGTGTTGCGTGAAAATTCAGGCTTCTTTTAGGTAGGTAGGCATTGAAAAACAGCCATGTCACTGGCAGAGAAAACAAATTAAAAATCACTAAAAATATATACTTCATCAATCTTGAACGAATCCATTATAAAGAAGACTATAGAAGGGAATCACTTGCATCTAACTACATAGACAGCCGTAAAATAACTAAGTTTTTTACTTTTCCATACTCGGAGAAAAACTAAATAAAACGAACTATTTCGGGGCTATGGTATTGTTTAGTAATAGAAATCCACATCACAAAACTCAGGTTAACAATTATTCAAGGCTATTGCCAAAAGTCATTGATGCAATTTAAACAACTACCAGTACATAATTTGATCTCAACATCTCATCTTGATTTCCAAGTCTTATTCCGGCAATGACTAATTGGTCTGCATAATGCTTTGACATGAATATTTGTTTCTGAGTAGAAATACAAACTAAATTATGCAGTTAGAATTGAGACAGAAATTACTCGGCATTGCGTAACTTGGCAAGTCGCTGAGTGAGCTCGTCTTGGTCCTGGCTGGCAACTGTGCTGGAGACCCCAACTGTGCTTGTCTGGCCTCTTGGCAGCTCCAAGTTTAGTTCCAATCTGATACATATAGAAATTGTATTACATATATATTGATTAAAACTTAGCACATATCTTAATTCAAAAATGTACAAAAATAAATATATTCCTTATATTAGTTCCTATTCTTCAAAATGTTGAAGTTAGAAAGTAAATAAAAATCCAACTAACACCAAATTAAACAACTGTAACGTACATTCTTCCACAGTCAATAAAAAATAATGAACTAAATAAAGTTGTAGGTAGTGCTATGAAGTTATGGAGTTCCTGTGGAATGGAATAAAACAATTTTTGAACAAAATTACCAACTGTTAATTTATGAATGCTAAAGAATATACCATACAATACACAACAAGATAAGAACTAAATGTTTGTTCCATTTCAACTTCAGTTTTATTAGCACTGAGTCAAATAACAACATGGCATGATATACCTATGTATTGCACCATAGTAAATGCAGTAATTTAGTATGAGTAATTTAATTTCTAGTATATCAAATTTAATTTCATTTTTAGTAAAACCCACCCAGCTTCATCAGCCACTTGGGCCATTAAACCATTGACAGCATCTTGAGGCACAGCTGTTGTGGTGGTCTGGCTCATGGTGCTCTCCATGTAACTGCTTTGAACGTCCAAGTCTTCAAATTGATGCTCAAATTTGTCCATCAATGCAGAGATTTTCTCTAAGTTCATTGACTTCATGGCAGCATCAAGGTTTTTCACAACTCCTGCCATACTTGCAGTTACCTTGGAAGGTGAAATTAATGTAGTAAGAGGCATAAGCTTATGAAAAATAAATGAATAAAAAAGCAATACTTGTCCACGTAAAACTTTTAAAATTTCATCAAACAAAAAGATTATCCCCTAAATCAATATCAGTATATCATTGCTTCAGTCAACTTGCATTGTGATATGTTTATTAAAAAGAATTATGTTTAGCTATTGTCATAGCTAGAATGCTCCAATGATTGATTGAGAATTTTCAATTGTGTTTCACATACATGGCCAAACTTAATTTTCCTTGTCTTGACATTGAAAAGATCAAGGTTTTTACCTTCCGTTGAGTTACAGCTGTCTGCACACGAGCTGCAACAGCATCAACTCGAGCAGCCATTCTTAAATAATTTAAGGCTTGACTTTTATTCCTAATTGAGTTCTCAGCATGAATTTGAGCTCCTGCAGTGTTGCCCTTCTGAATGGCTTTCTTGATTTTCAATTTTTCTTCCTTTTCCATCTTCTCACATTTTTTTGACTGCCGTTCCAAATCCTTGGCAGCAAACTTCAGTTGGAAAAGATGCTCTGAGAATAAAATTATATTGAGTTTTTGGTCCGAATCCAGTATAACGTAATAAATATTTCAGCATGGATGGAGTTAGGAGAAAAGATGTATTTATGATATGGCATTATATTTTATTGCAGTTTGACTCTGTCAATAAGATTAGCTAAAAGGGTCTTATTATTACCACGTTTTTCTTGACTTCGTTTCGTGTCTGTCTGTCTGTCATCAAAAATTCAAACCTTAATTTAGAGCACTTCTAAACATCCTAGTAAGTTGAACTTTGGCATGCATGCTTATGCTGCCTAACAATTCAAGATTTGATCATCAGAAATAATAATAAAAATTAAAAAAAAACACTAAAAATTCACGGTTTAGAATAGAATTGAGTTTTTTCTTGAACATCCACACTTGCCAACCCTAGAAATTGATTTGAATTGCTAAAATTGCTAACTAAAAAATAGAAAATAAATAAATATAAAAAATATTTTTGAAAACCATGTTTTTCTGGTTTTTACAAAACTAAAAATAGTGAAATAAAACAAATAAAAAAAACTTAAAAAAATCACATTTTCTTAACAGACAAAAAAGAAAAACATTTACTCTTACATAACATAACATACCATTTTACATAACTTATATGTTAGTATGTAAGAGTAAATGTTTTTCTTTTTTGTCCGTTGAGAAAACGTGATTTTTAAGTTTTTTTATTTGTTTTATTTTTCAATAATTTCCAAAATGATTCCAACTACATTTACTAAATGTTGTGTTATACTTTACAGTCTGGCTACATTACATAGTGGCAAATCAGAGGCTTTCTTTTCTGACTTCCTTTTTGAGTCCTGTAGGTGACCACTAACCACTGTAAGCCACTGTAAGTGACCCGCATTATTACACATGGATTTGGAATAAAAATTTCAACAAGATAAGTGAATTAATAACGAGCTGTTTTTTCAAAAGCTCATATCTGCCATCATGAGGGATAATAAAAAACTTACTGTTAATATCAAATACTTTCAACAGGCTAAAAATATTTCTCAATAGTAAATTTCAAAAATTCAACTTATTTTGCAACAACGGGGGTAAGCAATTTAGTTATGTACTGGGTTTGTGCTGGAATATCCCATTTCTCAATAACAACTGGAAAACTCACAAGCTGCTGTTTTTTTGAACAAAACTCTTAAGTGATGAAGCATATATAATTATAGATATTATATTTATGTTCTATAGCACTTGTGAAACAATATTATTACCTGCAGATATCATGCAGGATTTTCAAATATATATAGACAAAAAATATCATTTTATAGGAAATTTTTATAATTATTTGATAAAATTAGTTATTTTTATTAGGCAAAGGCTATAAAAATGGTTGAAATTGACAACAGGCATTTTTTCTTTCATTGATGGGTGGCTTCTACCCAATTTTCCAGATCAGTCTGCAGGAAGTTTTATTAATGACAATGGCAATTTTACATTTGTTAACACGTTAACCGCAACATGTACCACCTGTGGTACAAAACAAGCTTTCAATGAATGCCATATGCTGGCGGTTAACATGTTAATGATACAATTAAACTGTAATTTACACAGAAATGCTTTAAAAATAAAAATGCATTGCCAATGATAGGAGTTGACATTCACAATTCAGATCACATGTGATTGGCTGAATAACCTGACGTGATTAGTTAAGATATGTGAAGCAATGAAGCAAGCTAGAAAAAATTTGTATTGCCCTTTTTCTTAAGTTCTGAGACTCAGTCTTCTTCTGACTTCTAAATGTTATTTTATCTCAGCTGGATCTAACTGCTAACTGCATAGAGGCAAACCTAGGATTTTTTAGCTTTGTTCATGTTTGATTTTCTCATCTACTCATTGGTGGTGGTGCAGTGCTACTACAAAATAAATGAAGAAGCAAGAGGTGGCGCAGAGTGGCTAGACAGAAGGAGAAATGAAAAAGATAGGGGGCAATGAAGACAGGTGCATAGTGCAAAATTAGCTGGTTTTGATATGTGAGCCTGTGAGGTTAGGTTTCAATTGGACAGTGATTGGAGGGAACCTGTCAGGGCTTTGACTGATTTCTGTAGAGGACTGAGGAGGTAAATTTGTGGTTTGATGCAGTATCAAAAGTATGTACAATTTTGAGTAATGTTATAAAAAATATAAATGATGCATACTCTGTAATTACAAGCATTTTTTTCACTTTTCATGTTTTTTACGGTTTTTGTAATTTATATTATTTTATTGCTGTTTTAAATAATGATTTGATCATTTTGATGGAATGGGTGGTCACCCGGTGGTGACTGGTGATTATGGTTATGATGAAGTTGATGGGGATGAATTGCTTGAAATTGGAGAAAAGTCAGTTGGTTTGGTGGTACAAGGGATTCAGTCGCATTTTTATTGTGCATTACTCTTGGCAAATCAACTGAGTCTATCAGCATCATTAGGTTTCTGCACCTAGTCATTGTCATCTATTCAAGATTTGAAGCAATATTTTATTGACGATAATACTGGTATCTATGATACAGTTGATACTTGACTTTTCTACTTATAAGACTCAAAAATGAACTTTAGGAAGAGTCTAAATTCTCTGTTTTGCCACTAAGCAAATAAGTAGTAAGCACCACTATCTTGGTGATTGCCAATAAATTTGTAATATTGGGCAGATGTTAAAAAAATTTGCAGGCAAAAACAGTAGTTTGTAGTTTCAGATGACAAGTGATTTTTTGAAATTACAGGTACATTGGGCAATTTTTCTCAATTTTTACTGAAAAAATTAAGAATTTGATCATAGGAATGTTGAAATTTGTCAGATTTAGTAGCATTTTTGTCAAACTCACATGTAGCTTTTATCCAATTTTACAGTTAGGATTGGCATTTGGCATAGCATAGTGATACCAAGATCAGGTTTTTAGTCTTAAAGTGTTATCAACATTATTAAGGATTTACAACCAAAAGTGCTTAAATATTCAAGATTTCTTGCCATAGTATATACCTATATGACAATGCCTTAGAGTTAAACTTAAAAAGAATTTATTTAGAATGAAATGTGTTGGCATTTGCAAGATATTCTGAAAATACAGATTTTGATGCTAATTTTAACCAAAGATCTTCAGATATTTGCTGGCTTTTGTCTCTTATGCAGACTAAGACTTAGATAAGACTCAGCCTGTAGAGGGACATAGACCCATTATCACTCAGTCGATAGACATACCTAGACTTATAGAATAGGAGTTATAGGACAGTAGGTATACAGATCAGACATGATGATGAAGGAAAGTGCAAAGTGGGAAAAGGATTAGATAAAAATGGTGTTTTTGCCACATCCCAGTCTACTCTACATCTACAGACTAAGACTACAGATAATACCAAATTTTTTTGCAACAGCACACACACATCATAGAATGTTACTTACTCTCCATGCTGGCTATAGACATGGTGATTCAGCAAACTCGTACTGCGATGACGCACAAACCAGCGATCAGCTAATACTTGGGTGTCGATGACTGACGTCATCATTATCAGGATTCATTGTCGTATAGAAGCCATCCGCAACAGCTGGAAATTACAAACTAAAGTTTCTGATTCTAAAAATTTAAAACCTCAACAAATGTACGAGTTTGAATAAAAAATATAAAATGCAGCTTATTTATGGTTGTCATTGCATTGAATTTCTTTGCAATGTAACTAAAATGTTTTCATAAATAGAAGAATATGATTGAGGGTGAACATTGCATCAAATTCCAACAGCTTTCATTCCTCCATGATATGCCGTCAATTAGACAAACTCGGCCTCTGTTACTTACTTACTTTCGTCTAGGAGGAACAACCGTCTTAAAAACGGACGTAATTTAAACATTATATTGCATATTAAAAATAAATGAATAAATTTTCCTCAAGAAGACACCAACTACCAGCAGATGCGGCTTAGTGCCAATGATGTTTACAAACTACAAGTGCATTATTTTCACTTTTCATGCCATTTATGGAGATTTTAGAGGTGCTCTTAACAGAGAAAATTTTTTGTTTATCGTCCTTGGTCATTATAAGTCAGTATCCTAGGGCAACTTGCTCTTTAGATCTTGATATTAATTTTTGAGCACTCCCATTCAACAACGTCGCTGTCCAAAATAATGGATGCATATTCTGCAGCATGTTTTTATATATTGCAAAATATGGATCATATAATATTTAAGGTAAATTTTTTGATTAACCTGTTTCTTCGAAAATAAATTATTTAAACACTTTATTTCTCTATAAATTCCATTACATACGCAAACCAATAATATTACGCGTTCGGTCATCGCTGATTGCATAATACCTTACGTCGATTTGAATAACAAACATGGAGCTTTCGTAAACCAATTTGAATAAATTGTATCTTTATTTTATGTATTATATAAAAGTAATTTAATATCGACTGTCCGCTTACCTTCTACCAGGCTGCGATGGGTGAATTTTCTCTATAAAATACAATAAAGTACACACAAATTCATCGTAAATTAAGTTATAACAGATCATATTTTAATATCATAGCTATTTGCCAGTCAAAAGTAAATTAAATTTAAAAGTTGAAGCTCTAAGTAGTAAGTTGAGTCGATCGAATGAGTAAATTCCAATATTATGACACATTCTTTGTTTTCATGTCCTCATTTAAAGATATCCTGATTAAAATGATTTTAATCATTCAAATATCTATCATATTTTTTCTTTTTATCATTCCGAGTGATTATTTCTTAGTCTATATTTAAATTCCCAACAGTATTGTTCGTATTTGTGGAATAATTTTCTTTTGCATGCCTTAATTTCTCGAAAAAATGTTTAATTTGAATTAGTAATAAACTTTGGTGATAAATATTAAATGTTATGAAGTTTCGTTGCAAATTAACTCAATGAATGAGTTACAGTTCGGCGTTCAACTGCTCCTCTTGACCAGCAGCACGTGCACTCAATTAAGAAATATTGTGGATATGCTCTGTGCATAATTCTTGCAACTAAAAATCTGTTAACGCACTTGATCCTTCACATTTGGCAAAAAATTTCTGTTATAACTTTTGGTAAGATGGGTTATATGGGAGTGTAAAGGAACAAATTTTACTGTCTGGCAACTGCAAGTGCAGGGAGATCTCGACGCCAGTAAGAAGATCGATACAGTTTCAGTGGCCTACGTGACTGTTTGACGGGAGGTTGTTGTGCGCGGAGCAAGCCTTCAAACCATTGCCAGACCTTCGCTTTTGTTCGGTAAATATAGATTGTCTTCGTTTATGTTAATAAAAGTGCACGAATTAAACATAATGTGTTATTTTCTTTTGCTAACTGCAGTTGTTTTTAATTTTAAAACCATTTTTCTATAAGTTCTGCATTGAAGTCGTCGAGTGCTAGTTGAACGTGGCATCGTTGATGTCTGGCAGCGAACGTTCAAGTTTACTATCTATTTTGAACGTGGTGCGTTCAAGTCTCCTTAGTCATTGGTTGCGTTTCTTTCTAGAGCTTTTTATAGATAGCGAAGGGAGATAAGAAGCGATAACATGTAGTGAACAGTTTGCTGATAGTTGGTGTCTTGGTGAACTCTAAGTTGGTTGGATATTTGTGATGGTCGCTAGCATTGTAAGGGAACCGGTGAGGGTAGGAATGATGGACTCGTGAGGCTCCGTGGGAGTCTCGTCTCTCATTCTTTTATTGCAAGCTGTAAGCACTGCAGGAAAGTGCAGTGCGTCAACTTTTATATATACATAGTTAGCTATCACAGTCTGTGTACGCTGATTTCTCCTGTTGATATGCTTCTTGTGCTCTCAGTAGAGGCACCGCATCTAAATACGACATGCATGATGCACTTACTGTAATCACATCTCAAGTACCTACTAGTGAAAGCATTGTGCTTTTCCGTGCAGTGAAAAGAGTTTAAAATATATATCAGATCTGCTATTGCTTCACATTTGTGATGAGCTTTTCTCGGTTAGTCGGTATGATATGGAAAATTTCCAAATTAATTGAACTTGTTGCAGCTTAAGCATGTAAATATTGCAATAAAAGTTATAACATTTTAACATACCTCATCATAATAATATTACAAGCTAATCATTTCGGAAGTGAATGAAAGTAGAAATCTTTCTTTTACAGTATAACTATCCTTTGCTCCATTAACAACCTATATAAACTTACAAAAAACGCAGCAGTAACGAAGGTAAATGCACTAAAATGAATAATATGTTTTGGAACAATATCAGTTATAGTAAAAATATGTTGTACCGTACGTACAGCCAGTACAAAAGGATGAAAAATACGTTATTCGCTTACTATTTTTTCGGCCATTCGTGCTATGAGAAAGATAGGTAGCTGTTAACGTTGTCCGCTAACTTTTTTATTGCAACTTCAAAACGACGGGGTGAATCGCAGTCCCTTGGATACAATGTCGCTGATTAACCCTCAGACGCAGAGATCAATTTACAATGCACTTTCACGGGCTCAGTGCGCTGAAGTATTAGCGATGAAAGTAACACTTAATGTGCCTCGTCTTGATAGATCAGCGCTGAATGAGAGCGTCCTTGCAAGCAGCTGTGGTAGCATTCTGCATCTGCCTGCTGCGGCGGATAGTGATCTGCACACAACCGACGTGCAGGGAGCAAATGCTCTGCACACAACCGACGTGCAGGGAGCAAATGCTCTGCACACAACCGGCGTGCAGGGGGGCAAATGCTCTGCACACAACCGGCGTGCAGGGGGCAAATGCTCTGCACACAACCGGCGTGCAGGGAGCAAATGCTCTGCACACAACCGGCGTGCAGGGAGCAAATGCTCTGCACACAACCGGCGTGCAGGGAGCAAATGCTCTGCACACAACCGGCGTGCAGGGGGCAAATGCTCTGCACACAACCGGCGTGCAGGGGGCAAATGCTCTGCATAGATTATCTCATTGCTGTGCTCGATAAATCATTTCTACGTCAAATACGTATGCTTATAACGGCTATTTTGCTCTAAATTTTCGTAATATTTTCATGCTCTGTAGTCGTATGCCATTTTAATCATGCACACGTTATATATTGGCCTTGTCCTGAGGGGATTTATACTTTATTCTACCTATGAACGATCCTTCTTAAGAACAACGTATTGCGTTACACATCGGTTAACCCAAACCTCGGTCATGACCTGTCAATACAGCCTAGCTCAAGTCTCGACATAAGTAATGAAATCTGTTACGGTACGAACATACTTCTGGCTCGACTCAAACTCGTTACATGTATATGAATCATTTGCAAAAGCACTCGTGAATTCTATTCAATCTTCTAATGAAATAGGGAAGTTTTCGGAGTTTTATTTTTGTTTTTGATACATCATTTGAAAGTTCATATGAATGTTCGACTATTGATCGCTTTGCTGTGGAGTATGACTCTCGTTAAGATATTAGGGGAATAAAACTCGATTTTTCAAAATGTAACGTCACTCGTCTTCGTTTCGGCGTTCGTGTATGCAGACAAGTGTTGCATGCAGCATATTTTCCACATGATTCTGCTTAAATTACTTGATATTTGAGTCATCGATTACACAATTCGTTGAGTTTAATATTTCTTGTATGCTGATATGCCCCAAACTGCTGATAACTTTCCCTGATTCGTGTCAAAACTCTCTATGTTGGTGCGCTTTCTGATCTTGAGTTTCATGTTTCCATTTCGGTTTTATGCTGACGTCTCCCTACCCCGTACACGTGGCAGATGACCAGCGCTCTGCTCACGCTGCCAGGACTAAGAATACAACCTCGAGTTCACTCACGAACAAACTCACGTCTGCCACGTACACCTACCACGTACACTTGACACGTACACTTGCTACATACACCCGCCGCGTACACCTCTCACGTAGACTTGCCATGTTCATCACGGTGCATGTGAACGGTGTATGTAGACGGTGCGTGTGGACGGTGCATGTGCACGGTGTATGCGAACGGTGCATGTGAACGGTGTATGTAGACGGACGCACACCTGCCACGTACACTTGCCACATACACTTGCCACGTACAGTTGCCACGTACACCTCTCACGTACACTTGCCATGTACATCTGCCACGTACTCTTGCCACATACATCTGCCACGCACACCTGTCGCGTACACTTAACACGTACACCTGCCACCTACATCTGCCACGTATACAAGTGTCGCCTGCTTGCCACGTAGACTTGCCACGCACACCTGTCGCGTACACTTGCCACGTAATCACGCACACTCTATACTCCTTCAAACGCTCTGTCAAATTATACTTGCGCTCAACTGAATCTCTTATAATAAGAATTTTCTAGGGTTAACATTGCGCCACTGCGTTCATTCCACAATGCGAACTACTTAATAATTGTGTAAAACAGTAGCTCATGCGCTTGACATGTTTTGTAAGATGCGTGCACAAAGTTCCCATCACTCAGTCAGAGTGACAATGGATGGCGTGACCGTGGGCACGTGTGTCGTGGACGATGTAGTAAGCTTTGTCGTAGCACGTGACCGTGGGCACGTGTGTCGTGGACGATGTAGTAAGCTTAGTCATAGCACGTGACCGAGGGCACGTGTGGCGTGGACGATGTAGTAAGCTTTGTCATAGCACGTGACCGTGGGCACGTGTGGCGTGGACGATGTAGTAAGCTTTGTCATAGCACGTGTTCAAATTTTAGAAGAATTTTCATGCCGTAAAAAATGCTTCCAGAGATTTTTCTAATTTATCTTAGGAAAGAAAGTGAGTGTCTTAATTGAAGTAATTTTTTTGTTTAATTACCATGTGGTCCCTCCATCTTTGTTTCGACTCGCTTACGTTTATACCGCGCTTTTGAATGTTTTGCATTCGAGATGCATTCTTGAATAGAAATATATTATTGAATTTATTAAATAATAATGTATCATCGAATTTATCACCTGAATCCCATTCGCTTATTAATTTGCCTTACCAATTAAAGATAACGTAACTCAAATTTACGATCGTAATACAACTCAGGCTTATCGAGCTTGTTCATATGCTGGACTCCATTCGCGTAGCATACACGCGGTAGTCGTAGTGATCTCATTATACGGCAACGAGTGAGGCCGTAGAGGGATGGCCAGGATTGCCATATGGCCTAAAAAGCGATCAAGTACTCGGACAAAAAAGGCCAACAGTTCAAAAGTTACTAGAAAATTGTAGGTAGCGATGAAAAAAAAGTTGAATTTTAATTTTTTAGCCACTTCAAAATACAGTGAGGAAGTACCGCTATGAGAAATTTTGGCAAGCCAGTCGAAACACGGCAGTGGTGGTCTCCGACAGGCATCCTCAACTTTAGAATAGGGTGCCATTATAAGTCGTCCTTCTTTATAAATGATTACATTATGATTCACGGTATCCACAAGTGAACCTGAAGGTAAAATTATCTATTATTCAGGTATGCTTGTGTTGGTAAGTAAAATATTAATCTCAATGATTGTAGCTTTTGCCTGCTCACAGCAAATTTTGGTAACACTAGATATTTCATGATCGAATATTGCATGAGTTATATGAATTAACAAAGAAGTTTCTAGCTTTATTGTAGAAAACTAATATGTTCCTAACGATGGTCTGCCTGTGTTTAGAATGCATGCCATTTGATCAGGGCCCATACTTTTAAAAAAAGTTAAGAGAGCGTAAGTTCAATAGCCAATCATTGACGTCCTTTCAAGCTAAGTCCACCAATCATAGACAAGAAAATAGAGCGTAAGTACTTACGTTCACTTAGCGAGTTTTGAAATTATGGCCCCATGCAGGCAGGTTGGTAAGATATTGGTGAGTTAATTTTAATGCTTAAATGTTATCAATTCTATGGTAATAATGGTTTATTAATAATTATCAACAATTGTACATGTTGTACGGTAATCATTTTCAGTAGATAATTGGGCGCTATGAGGTACCTGCACAAGTTTCTATCTCCATTCATCACGTCAACAATGAAGCTTTTGTGAACAGTTAGCAACTTACTCTGCCAAACACGCAACTCCCTATTCTTTCATTTTCCCACCATATTTCTTTTGCGGACTTCATTTGAAATTTTTGATTATACATATTTATTTTCCGGATTTCATTTGAAATTTTCGATTATAAAGCAGTAAAGTTGCTCACAAATAAATATGTTTCAAACGCCGAGTGCTGAGGCTGCGTGCCGCACGACTCGCTCATCTCTAATCACCAGTGCCTTCATTTGCCACTAAAAGCCTTGTTTGTCACATCATTAAATTAGTTTAAAATTAGTTAAACTAATTAATTAGTTTAATTAGTTAAAGCATTTTCTCATCTCTCGTTGATCCTGAATGATTAGGATAATTTTTATCCTTATTTACTTTTCTGTGAAAATAATTTTTGAACTTTATTTATTATTCTTACAAAAGCACCCAATCAACACACATGAATTTTGTTATTATATCGGACATGCTATTTCGGACAATCTTACAACTGTTATTCTGTTGTAAGGTTGTCCGAAATTTCGTATAAAATAATTTTTTTTCTCAAGTTGCACCTCATTCCTGCGCTAATGACGCCTCATAGTTTTGTTGTCTTATGATGAAACTTTTCTTCAATCGAAACATAATCCATGTTCTTCCATTCATGAGGCACATTACTTGATTATTTTCTCTAAATAGCGAGATGAGCATAGATATTAACTTAGGGAATGTTAGAGGTAACTTCTCTCTGAATCGCCGTCACTGTCATCAATACATCAATAAACATATTAACTTTAAAAATTTTCTGCTTCTTCGAACCCTTCCATAAAAATCTGAACATTGTTATGCTTATCGCAAAAACTTGCTTGCTAAGACAATTACTATTAGTTTAAATTGATGGTGATTATTTTCCGGTTCTTTTTCCCTGTTTAACATTGACTCTTTGTGTTGCACTTTACAGGCATGGCTGAGAGGGCATTTGGTTCCTAGGGAAGGTTCCGTTCCTCCAGCCTCTTATCGCCACACTTACACGTGTGGTCCGCGCTCTCTATTTATAGCTCTACTAACCTTATCTAAAATAAGTAGCATCTCTTTCACAAGTGACCATATTTGCACTTAATTAACCAGGAGTTGGTCGAATGTGGTTTGTTGGTGCCTAACATTCGCTTTGTATATTTCTCAAACGTATCCGATAGCACACAAAAAATAACGCTGAACGTTATCTTGTTATTAATGGGTGGAATGCGGTCTAGAGCTTCTACAAATATGGCACCGAGAGGTACTTCAACTCGTTCATCTATGATATTTGAACGTAAAACTAGTGAAGAGCTGTCATCTGCCTCGCGAGCTAATGGTATTCCTGAAGTTGCTTCCAAGCCTAGTTCGAGAGCAAGAACTCCTAAAACGAATACCGGTAGTCTTGCACAGAAAAGAAAAATCACTCGCAATTCCCCTAAAGATCGTAAGGTTAGAAAAAACCTTGACCGTAACAAAGAAAGGCCGCGATCAACTAAATCCAGAAAACAAAAAACGTCCACAAGATCCAAGAGGGGGGCAAAAGTTGGACTTGTCACTCCTGCCGATGGTCCTAAAAATGAAAAGTCTCGAAGAGCTGACTCTGGAAACGATTCAAAAACTAAAATCCAGAAGATATCTCCGGCGGAAAATAATACTGAAGAAAAGAGCGACTCGGAAACAGCGTCGCTGATAGATGACGTAGACGAAACGTACTCACCGACAAACAGTGAAATTGACGGTTCACCCTCCCACGACAGATATTCTGACAGTCGACTCAATTTAGACGGGGACGACGATGACGACAGATTGACGGTAGACACGGACGACGATAGATGTGATACCGATACTAAAGAGAAAAAAATCGTTGCTCCTGATGACGCTGACAAGCATTTGATCGACGTGTCTGATAACAACGAATCCGGGAAAAGATTTAAATGTTCATTTTGTGGTAAAACTTCGCAGTGTCGTGCGGACTTGAAGAAGCACATTCGCGTACACACTGGAGTTCGACCGCACAAATGCAAGGTTTGTAATGCCAGTTTCATCCAAATAACTGCGTTGCGGGGACACGAAACTATCCACACTGGGCAGAAACCTTTTGCTTGTGATGTGTGCGATAAAACGTTTGCTATCAAAGACAGACTTCGGTTGCACATGCGTGTTCATACCGGCGAAAAGCCATACAAATGTCCACAATGCAACATGACTTTCGCTCGAAGAAGTCAGATCGTGCAACACGCTAAAATTCACAGCACTGATCGATGTTACCGATGCGAAGAATGTTCACAAACATTCACTACGTACCACATGCTGCAAGCACATCACAACACACATCGCGGGATCAAGGAGTTCATGTGTGTGGCTTGCGGCAAGAAATTCATGCGGCTCGAAGGTATGAATAAGCATATTCGTACCGTGCATCGTGGTTCAAGACCTTACACTTGTAATATCTGCGGCAAATCGTTCAAAGGTCATCTTCAGCAGCACATGAGACTGCACATGGGGGTGAGACCATTCGAATGCAACATCTGCAAAGCAACGTTCACGCAAAACTCTCAGTTGACCGTTCACATGAGGATCCATACTGGAGATCGTCCCTACAAGTGCCAGATCTGTGGTGCAAATTTTGCGCATTCATCAGCTTGCAAGATCCACATGAGATCGCATACAGGCGAGAAGCCTTTCAGATGTGTTCTGTGTGACACTTCATTTGCTCAACTGCCTCATCTCAAGAAACACATGAGGTGCGTACACGACGCAGAAAAACCTTATCTCTGTACCGGATGTTGCGATTTCTTCCAAACGCAGCAAGAGCTGGACATGCACAAACAACTTTACCACGGCATCAAGAAGACGAATGAGGAGGAGGCTGAACAAACTGTGGAAGAAGCAACCCTGGCTCGCCTACGAGCGCGTCTTGCCGTGTTGCTGTACAGAATTTCCTCTGAAGAGCGACGAGCCAAATTTGGCTTTGGCAAGCGTATTATTGATGACGTCTTAAAAACCTCTCTTAAATCATCTGGCCATGAACCAATAACTGATCCTGAAATGAGTACTTTGAATGAACTTAGACAAAATGTATTGCTTCTGCTGAAGTGGACGATACCAATAGAGACGATGGAAGAATATCATCGTAACAGCATGACGGTGGATGAAGTGCTCGAAATGCTGACGAGTTGAAAATTTCCACTGTCATCTATGTGGAGTGTTTCTGCGTTTATTATTAGTTTGCCGATCTTATTGTACGCTAACTGAATAGTTTTTTTTACAATAATTAAATTGTCTATGTTGAATTGCTTGATTATGATAAACTATTCCTGTGCACACTTTGGATTACCGTACCGCTGAATTATTGGAACGAGTTTCTGTTGCTTCCGCTTCTATCTGGAGCTTCCGCTGTAGCCTCGAAGCTGATCAACTTACACGTAAACTAGATTTGCTGTTCATGGTCAAGAACTCTTGTCTTCACATTCTGGTCCTTCAATATTCTCCAAAAGTCATCAAAATATTGTCTATTCTATTTGCGATTCTCTCTTGAGAATTCATTCTTGAATTAAAATTTTCGATATCTAACCACTCCTCTCTCACACATTGGCCGCATTGTCCGTTCAAGTCTCAAGAGTTAAATCATGTCACAGTAAATGGCCGTCGTTTAAATCTCCCTGATTTGTTCCATGTTCCTCAAGCGCACTAGATTCACTTTTGATTTCTAATACCAACAACATAAAAATTGAGTATAAATTTATCCTTTTGTGTTGATAGAATTAAGATTGTAGAAAAATATCGTCAGTTTTCGATTGGTTCGATCGTGGTCGATGTACTTTATTCTTCGTATCGTCGTGTTTTAACACAATAATCGTGTGTTTAAATGTTGAGTGTATTAATCATTGTTACATATTCCCTGTAATGTTGATTATTATTTTAATTATCGCAGAAGAATTAATTCAAGCATAGCCCTTCTCTTCTGCCGTGTAATGAACGTGAGATGACCTATGACCACTTCTACCACCATTGTACTCTGGAATGAACTCTGCTTATAAGTCATGCACATTAGAGAGAATAACCTTATTTCTCTACCAAAAAATATCCCTCATAGCATCATTTAACTATGATGCCTAATGTCAGAGAACGTTCAGGATGTTGATGCGCATCGAAGAGGTTGCACTTACGTAGATCAAGTTTCAAGTTTCCCCAAGTTGAGGGATCGCTTGTTTTACATTCAGATCATTACCTACGTCATCGTCTTGAATAATCCTTATCAGTGTGTCTGTTATAACTCTTCTCGATTCCTTAATACAGTTTTATTGAACAATTATTTTCAATGTAACGATAACCAATATTTTGCTTCGTATGACACAAGTTTTTTTAGAGGGATTTTAAAAATTGCAAATTTTAGTATATTATAATGTAGTCGTTATGAATATTTTGCGTTCACATTCTCAAAATTTTGCTTGTGACTTTTTGTCCTCAAAGAACTTACTTATATTTATTCATAAATTGCTTTCTCATCACCTCATTCATATCTGTTTAATGAACTCATAGAGCCTTATAGCGGGCATCATGCGTCTATCGTAGTTCTCTTATACTGATTATAAAGCTACTGTGAACTGCCTTGCATGCGCATGTATGCTTGGCGAATAAAAGATAATAATGTTCCAACACACTTGGCAATCAGATGTCTGATGCGCTTAGTCATCCTGGCCATATTGAAGTTTGGAGTCGTGTGACGTTCTAATCGTATTGTATACATGAAGTGACATCCCACACGATACACTTGTTCTAATCGTATTGTATACATGAAGTGACATCCCACACGATACAATTCCTCTTTCAGTGCAGTCTTTCTCTTGATCATCTCTATGCTATTAAAATTTTACGGTGAATGTCGTCTGCGTAATGACTTGTAAAATTAGTAATTAATTGACAATTTGTTCTGAAATTTACCTGTGCAATTTTTTATTCGCGTATTTTGAAGAAAATCTCAATGGTATGGATTAATTGGTAATTTGAATGTATATTTCTTACTAGCAGTAGCCAGTTGTACCTCAAATGTGAAGTATTTAAAAATTCTTCTTTTTTCTGCATGAACCGATTGAAGCTTTTGTCGCCTGGACAGCTAATTGTATTTCAGCTGAAAAATGGCGTTGTCGGTGCTGAATTAGACACGAACGTGCTGCTCAGCATTGTTTGATTTGCATTTATTTATACTGATCATGATTTTATTTTCCTACAGGTGAACAAATTGTCATAATTTAGATTATGACTTTGCTTTGTTATCACAAAATCTAGGGCATTTCAGAGACCAATCTCAAGTAGGAAATGTTTTGAAAGTTGTACTCATACTAATGCTTAGGCCCATCTTCTGAGCTTGTGTAGGAAGCGGACACATCAATTATTTATATTGTGTGCTGATGATTCTCAGGCACATTATCGGTCGACGTTTTGATAGTTTGACTTTAATTCGAGTTTTTTTAGTGAGTTTTTATTCGATAGTTCGAGTTTAATTTGAATTTTTTAGCGAGTTTTTAGTATTTTTTCGGTTTTGATGGTCGCTAAGATCCCAAAATTTGATTAGTTGCCTTGAAGAGGCTTGATTGTAATAGCGTACAAAAAATGCACGAGCAATTAGAACACAAAGTGCTTTAGGAGATCAAGAAAAGTTTTTATGAGGACGGACGGAAAGAAGAGAGCACCGCCATGTCAGGAGCGCGTGACATTTTTGACCGACAATTCAGGTTATTTAAAGATATTATCCTCCGAAGATATATGTTTCGAATTGTTTTATGAATCCATTTTAATATCGAAACTGTTAATTTCTTTCTTGTTAATTTTAATGTATTTTCCATTTATATTTTCTTGAATTGTTTGAAAAGGTGCCTCGCGCAAATATTTCGCTGTGCTTCATATTTTAAATTCGGTGTTATTTATTAACCGTGATCTTCTCTTAATGTTTTGTCTTGTAACTATATAAAGTCCAACATTTGTTACTCGTGTACGTTGTGCCAACCTATGCTGTCTGGTCTTGCGTGTTATATTAAATCTTCGTCAAGTTATAATTTTTGATCGTTCTATGGCAATATTTTACAAAATCCATTTTATAATGTGCTGAAAAATCCTGTTTTCTGGAACACAGCACCATTATGTATCGAAATTATCGTCTCGTGAAAATATAGACGACAAATTAATGCTCATCTTTTTGGTAGACAGTCAGTTTGTTTTTAAATAAATTAAAAGTTTCACAGTAACTATTGTCTGTACAATTTGAATAACTTGTCTTTACGTTGCGCGTCTTAGGGTAAGGAAGAATAACATGAATTGGTTTGTACATATACTACTGCCCGCAATTGTTAGTAGTCTACTCATGTAAGACTCGGCCATGATTATTCTAAGTCAACGCTAATATGCTGACCAGTATTAATTTAAGTTATTTATTTTTTATTTTACAATGAATTTTGCATTCGAGAGCAAATCGCATTTATTCCATACTCTTCAAGCATGCACAATTTTCAACTGTAACAAAAGTTCTGTCTTGTTTTTACTCGCGATTTACCATATGAAATAAGACAGAAACTTTTTACAGCTTCGTATTTGTGAAGTCTTTCCATCTGCCATTCATGTCCGAAGAAGACCTGCTGCCATAACTCTACTAGTCTTCGTTTATTAAGAATTATTACCTTGCGAAGAAGTGGTTTAAAGACAACATAATCTAGTTCATAGTTTCTTAAGAGAATATCAAATGTGAGGGTACCAGTATAATTACACTGAACTGAATTATCATAGCCGATAAAGTCGTTCATCTAAATTTTTTTTATCACTGCAATCGTTTCATCTTTGTCTTGAACTTGAATCGTTGTCTTCCTTCAGAATATTTTCATGTTGTTTTAGCGCCGAAATTATTAACATTGTTAGAAAGATTTGAGTTCCTCTTCGGATTCTCATTCAACGCCTACCCTTTAAACACTTAATGCAAAATAAATTGATGCTTCTCATGAAATCAAGCAAATATTATATTGATCGAGTCATTTTCGTTGCTTTCAGCAGCTCCTGTTTGTTTTGAAATCGAACAGAAATAACTGAATGCTTGTTTACTTGATTAGTGTTATGAAAAATTGATGTTCGCTGTTTTTAGTGTTCACCCCATGTACGTAATTTTATTCTCCATCATAAAGTATTTATGGAATAATCGTTTATTTTTTCCTTGAATGAAAAGTTTTTACCATTTACAGTTTTTAACAGTGTTCGGAAGTCCTATTAAAGTTGGGTTACCGAAGAAAAGAAAAGAAGTAGATCGAATCGTGAGCATTAGTCATAGAGCGATAATGATCAATTTTTAAAGAAGTAGATGGATCACTATATGCATGCTAGTATGCATTTGGCATATGTAATCATACTTATAGAGACTCTTATAGGATCACGACCACGATTACGTAATCATTAAGACTAGAGAATCAAGGATCAATAGCTGAAGATATATATAAGATTACGATAACTCGAGCATTAAGAATACAGAAGGAACGATCAATTACTTGAGTTGCCATTGCGACAGCTAGGTGGTTTAGATACCTACCTCTGAAAACCGAATCGACACTTCAGCGAACTCGCTTGCGAACTCGAATGCAAAACCTAACTTCATTTTCAACTCAGGCACTCATAAATCCAAACAAGAGTTCCAGCGAAACAACTTGAGTTTATCCCAGCGACTTGCTTTCACTTCCAACGATGCAGGTTGTTCTTCAAAAGCATGAAAGTTATCGGAGAAATGAACACGTTATTAAAATTTTATGAAAAATTTAATTAAAACTCAGGCTCATTCTTGCTCAGCGTTGATATCCCACGGGAAACTTGGTACCCGAAAATTTTTGAAAGCAATGGGAAGATAATTCGGTTTTCAGTGTTATTTTATATGAATCTATCGCTGACAAAATTTTATTTTACGATTAACGAAGAACTAATGTTACGATCGTATGACTCGAGTTGTTCAAAATCAGTGTAATTTTAGTCTTCTATTTAATCAATGGAAGTGTAGAGAACGATCTTGCCTATTGAACTCACTGGTGATACGGGCCGACCGGACGCATGAATGGACTCAAGAACACACGATAAACAATCACGCCTGTTCCAAGATTTTATCTGAATATTAAAATTGTTCGTTGTTGAGCTCGTCAATAAAAGTCGTCATATCCTATATGTATCCAATTATTACTCATGTATTGAAAATTTATATATAAGAGTGCATTATATATCATTTCTGAATTGAAATACGAATGTACTAGATGCCTATTATAAACGGCAAATATTATGAAGGTAAAACCAAGTTCTTCCTTTTGATGTTTACTGCAAGCGAAATGCACAAAAGTGGACAGGCAAGTGAGGGGTGAGAAGCGCACGCGGCGGGCAGCAAGGGGAGGTGACGTGACCGCCGCTGGATCGATAGAGTACCGACCAAAGGTGTCCAACGGCCTCGATCATTGCTTGCTCCCTCAGCTCTTCGTTGTCTATTAGAGTCTAATTCCTTCTACATTTATTAGGTTTCTTGAATATATCCTGTTAACAAGTATGACGCCATCGCCCTTAATACAATTCTCATTTGTATTCATCAGATATTGGTTTTAACAAATGAATGCTGTTGCCACAGATTATGCAATACCGGAAATAAGTAGGAATCAAGTTTCGAATTGAATACTAAAACGGATTTTGGAGCTAGTACTTCACATTTATGAAAAAAGAACTGTGTAGTTGACTTTTTGACAGAAGGTAAATTCAAGGATATAGCATTGCATTGCGATGAATAAGAGTATTTGAAAGACTAGAGGGATGAGGCAAAAGTTTACTTCCTTATCCTCATGGAATCCACTCGCCAACTACGCTGAGAAAATCCAAAGTTTCGGCCGAATTTTATCGGAGATTTAGGTAGCATAAATGTAAAATCTATACGACGATGGAAGCTCAAATGCGTTTGGTAAAAAAATTGCTATCCAAATTTATGTGGCACGATTGGAAAAGTTTAAAGTCAACAAAACTTTGCCACAATTTCAATTCAAACATTTATTTCTCAGCGATGTACGACACAGAAATGTTTAGAATTCTGTAGGTTATAAATTCGACAGCACAAAATGTTTAGATATTTTGTACAAGAAGCGTCAAAATAACTCTAACATGTCTTATGAACACGTCCGCTAAATGTATGGAATAGAAATGAAATGGATGAATAAATATATTGGAGGTGAAATTAAGCTGCGGCGCTTTCCCAAGTTTGCTTCTTCGTCAGCTGACGAAGTTTTTTTTTAGGAGGAGGAACATTCAATTACAAGACAATTGTACAAATCAATAATAAGGTTAGTAATTAAACGACTTTTTAGTATGACAAAGGATGATAATAAATAAATACTGATTTTATAATTTTTATCATAAAGCACGTAACAGATACACGTATTGCTAGCTTAGGTCGATGAACGATATAGTTGACCTCCACCTGGGGCTAAACTCGCATAAAAATTCATAGTCTGGAATAACTTTACATTCCTCACGAAAAAGTTATACATTCACTGCCACTCATACTAGCGACATGGCAAGAAGCTCAAGTTCTGGAATGAAAAAGTTCTCACTCTCTATTCATGAATATATGGTCATCACAACTGCTCACTCTGTATTCAGGATTATATAGTCACCACAACTGCTCACTCTCTGCTCAGGAATACACAGTCACCATAAGTGCTCACTCTATTCAGGAATACATAATCACCACAACTGCTCACTCTCTATTCTGGAAAACATAACCACCACAATTTATCACTCTCTATTCAGGAATACATAGTCACCACAACTGCTCACTCAGGAATACATAATCACCACAACTGCTCACTCTCTATTCTGGAAAACATAACCACCACAATTTATCACTCTATTCAGGAAAACACGTCACCATATAATCTAACGAGCCTGAGAAGCAAACATGATATTCCGCAGCAGCGTATCGTGACACAACGCCGGGTCCAGCTCGCTCTCCATCACTTGCTCCACCTCGTGCTCGCTTCTGCACACCTGCAGCCCGAGAAAGAAATTAACCAACATGATCCGAAACACGTACATAATTCAGGAGATATCTTCATTCTTCAATAAATTTCAAACACGCACATAATTCAGGAGATATCTTCATTCTTCAATAAATTTCAAACTCTAATACAGCAACATGAGGGATAATTCCTAATTCAGATGCGTCTTAATGCCTAAAAAGTGTGCACCCAAAGGAGAATATTATGACTTGAACAAAAATGTATTTAATGCAGATTGAGCTTCTTATTATTATTTATAATATTTTTATTATTTATTGCAACTATAGGAACATAAAGTTTCATTCATAACAGTTTCACAATAAAAAATCTCAATCCATGTTCGGTCGCAGGATGACTCATCCTAAACCGTTGCCGAGTTGACAATTACTCACTTCAAACTTTATCCATTGATAATTCTGGCATTTACGCGCTCCAGGGCAAGCCTGTAGGACGTTCTGGACGCTGGGGTGTGACAAGCCAAAGAAGCGCAAGCCAATGTCGTTAATGGATGGCAGTTCGACGCTGTAACAATAAATCGAGGGGCAATATAAATGAAAAAATAATTGGTAAATATATAGGAAAATATGTTGCATTTTAACACGAGCCTAAAATACAGGGTAATAGATATCCATCGCTACAATTGAGTTCGAATCCATTGTAATCCTGAAAAAAATAACAACTTCTGATAGGTACTCATAATGAATCTTAAAACTTTTAGAAATTTAAATTCAACTACGGCAAAATTTGTTAATAAGCGTAGAGTAATTGTCAAGCTACTTAAAACGGGCAAATCTACTGATGAAATTTGCAAGGACTTGACTGCCCCAGCAAGTGGTTCATGGCTTTGGTGGGTCCTTTCCTAAGCGTCTCCACTCTACACCTCACCGTTATCAATGATTTTAATAGAGATTATATCGAGCAAATATTATTTACTCTAATTCTAAATTATTTTCAAATTACATTTTTATCGGAATCACTAAATTTCAGGCTTTATTCTGCAAATGCACTCGTTTGAATTATTTGAAACAAATATTTGTGATATTGAATACGTTTTAAACTTTTAAACAATAAACTATCTTCTCGAGAGTGAAAGGTTTCGCTAAAGAGCTATTTGAACTACTTCAAATTTAGCTTTTAAATACATTTTTGCTCTCTCAGGTACACAAAGAAATTTTGCTAACATCCAATGTAGGTAATTAATGAAGTAATTTTGTTCAGATTCATAAGGCGAGCAGATCTTGAAGCGTCACTGACCTGCGCTCGAGCACGCCGCGCGGCACACTAGGCGACGCGTTGACTACGTCCACCACGGCGTTGTGGCACTCACTGGGCGTCCTCCCGCAGAACACGCGCTCCTCGCCCGTGTCCGGTTCCTCGCACACCACCTCAAACCTGCCACGCCACACCCAAGTATAACGCCGCTCATCCTTACAGGCTTCATCACTCCTCGTACACCACCTCAAACCTGCCACGCCACACCCAAGTATAACGCCGCTCATCCTTACAGGCTTCATCACTCCTCGTACACCACCTCAAACCTGCCACGTCACACCCAAGTATAACGCTGCTCATCCTTCCAGGCTTCATCACTCCTCGCACACCACCTCAAACCTGCCACGCCACATCCAAGTATAACGCTGATCATCCTTCCAGGCTTCATATTCATCGGAAACTCATCGCCCTCAGTCATCTACTAACAATTAATTACACTAGTAATAAATCACTCGGTATTTTCAGGATGGTACAAGCTGATATAAAAAGTTCACAAGAATTTTCTCAAATTTGAATGAAAGATTTTGTAATTTAAAAAATCTTGGTACCAATTACAAACTTAATGAAACAAAATAAAAGCATTCAACTCTTAACTGAAATTAGCCAAATTTGAAGCCGAGAACATAACTAGATAACCATTGCAACATGATGCTACACTTGTATGTTACGGTACCGTGGGGCGAGTCCACCTTCTGAAATCTTGCACGTGTACGTAGCCGCCAACAGAGGGCTTCTTACGCTCGCGTAGGTACGTGAGGAGCAGAAGCCTACGGGGTAGATGACGTGGTTGCGGTGGTAGGTGGTGCGGTCGCTCACTATCTGTTGTCATGGTTTACTGTAGTCAATTACGGACAATGATCAACGCTTAAAACTAAAAAAATATCAACCATAGCCTCAACTTAAATGCAATACAGCCTTGATCATTTACCTCAATCATGGTGTGGGACCACATTAGCAACTCAATGGAGACAAGATTACTTGATCAGATAACGAATGATGGCAGCGTTTGACCATTTTGTCGACAAAGATTCAAACAGGGTTTTAGCGGTACGTACCACGTTTCATCAGATCACTTTTGAGTTTAATATGCGCATACTAAAAATTTCTGATAAGAGAAAGCTTGAAAATGTTCTTAGTGAAATAGAAAACTCTTACTTCTTTACGATGAGATGTATGAAAATTTATGCAAGATCGTGTCGTAGCAGATATAATCACTCGTTTTCGTCTGATTTCTTAAAGCCTTAATGAATTTTATGCATATGGCGATACTTTATTATAAATTCTTTAGCAATTTTCGACCATTATGATTATACATTGACAGACATAGCAAAATTATTTATTTTAGTAGGATAAAAACTGAAAAATGTAATTTCACTTTAGAATAAATAATTTCGAAGGTAAGAACAATGGACGACAGTGTGACCTCTCCAAGGCTGTGTATGGTGAGAGGACCGAGGACGATGGGGAAGATGGGTCTACCGGCGGAGTCCAGAGTGATGGGTGGGCAGAGACGCTTACTCTTGCCACTGCCTGCGCCTCCTCTGCTGCACACTCGACCTTTCCAATAAAAATATTCTAAAATGAACAATGAAATACAAGTAATCATCAACTATATTAACAGAAATCAAGACTAATACACACTCCCGCTAATTCACAAGCTATAGTATGCTTCATCCGCTATAATTGAGAAGAGAAAAATCATATGCTTTTTCATTTGGATCATTCATTCGAGATTGTTTGAAAACCACGGACTTTTAGATAAGAAATGTTCAATTAATTGATAGCTAAAACAATAACACAGAAAATGAAACGAGGAGTAATTAAAAAAGAGCCTTTTTTTGTTACTAACTTAAACATTGATCTTATAAATCAGAAATGATTGAAATTATTTCAGTAATTTTAAGCACACCTGAAGGAAAGGCCAGAAAAGTAATGCATTGAGAAGTTTCATTACAAGTGCACACAAATAGCAGGAAAATCATAGGAATTAGTGTAATGAGTAGATTAATAATTCGAGTGAAAAAGAAATTATGCTATTCGTGAACAATAAAAAAAAATCAGGAAAAAGTAAAAATTTTTACAATACTGGATAACCAGGTCCAGACCTAACAATGAATTTAAATTTGCTTTCAAACTGAAATGAAACTTCTGATAGTCAGCAAGGTAATTGTTATTTAACTGCACAATAAGAGGCAATTTCCCCGATTGTCCATCTCACCATATTGCTGTGCCTTTGTCTTCCTAGAGTTAGCGACAACTGGCCGCTCGCAAGAGGAACCATTCACTTTACTGACAGCCTGAGTTGAACCTGCAAACAAAAGGTAATTTAGAATCACTTTATGATACAGTAAAAATCTATACATAGTAAACTTACTAAACTATGAACGTTAATAGTAATAAATAATTACTATAAAATTGAATACAAAAAAGAATTGATATGTGTGTAAAAGCTATTGATACAATTGAACCAGTTGAAAAACGAACATGTTATCTAAAATATGGAACACACAGGCTTTTTGACTGACCAATAAGAGCAGTGACATATATAAACCCATGCCAGTATTTCTCAATGCTAATATTTCCCCCAAGCTCTTTGCTTAAATTCCAAATTTACAACTGACCAAGTCATTTATTCTTTATAGACAGCATCGCAACATTCAAACAATCAAGCTCTAGTTATGAATACATGAGAAATAAGTCTTGACCTGCAGTAAGGCTGGCACCCGTGGACTGCAGAGCACTCAAAGCCTCAGCATCAATATGCAGCAAGGGGTTATCCTGAAACACTTTCAAGCTCTTAATTGAAGTGAGTAACAGCCTTCATTCCCAGTAATAGGTATGCAATATCAAAATTGATAATATGCAATATCAAATGATTAATTTGCAATACTAAAATAACAATTTATCACAATTTTAATATAGGTATTATCATTGGTTGTTTTGTAAATGCAAGATCAAAGCTTTCATGTGCAAGATATTTATTCATGTTCAATTAACTTCATCTTTCAAAGCAAACTATCTCAATCTTTGCCCATCTCCGCTAATGGGTTATATCATGATAAGGTGGGTAGTGAACATCACAAAACGCTTAACACTTTGCAACCACTCTTTTACAATACTTGTTCAATGAGTCATACTAGAATTACACTTCTAAAAGATTTCAATTTGTAACTCAATGAAATTACGGAAGATACGTGGTATATATACAAAATCCCAGCTGTATTTCTCATGCATACCTTCATATTAGACTCTTGTGACATAGAAAGATACTTTCCAAGTAGAAAACGACGCTCTTCGTTTGCCAGCACAATTCTCTGCTGAACACAGGCTACTGTATCACAGAGAGCAGCATTTTCCTGCACACAAGAGACATTATAGATTGCTTCAATGCAGAAATTTTGATAAAAAGACAATATAAGGACTATCATCTATGAGCACACATTCAATGCCTAAAATAAGTTTTGACATGGATTTACATGGCATAATAAAGGGCAATTCAGTGTTTTCAATTTATCATTGACAAGCAAAATTATCAAAAAACTGGCTAAAGAGAAATTATATTTGCATCTTTAATGTTGATAGAGAATAAATGTATAGATTTTTCATGCAAATAAGAGTTCATTCTTATTGTTTTTTTTTCTGCATCATTGAAAAGTTACCCACAAGCACCAAAGAGCGAGCAATGTTTTTCATCTGCTTGTACTTGGTGCGATAAGCTTGTTGCTGCACAGCCTCATGTCTTGCCAGACCAGCAGCCACTGCAGGAGGGAGGTAGCCACGACCTCTGCTACTCATCTTGCTCTTCTTTGGCCCTCCCATTATCTAGCCACTTTAACGTGGTGAAAGCCTTATTTTTTACTCAATATAAATAACTTCTATTGTTCAAAATAAGCAAATATTGTCAGTAACAGATAAAATTGAATTGTTAATTTTTGTTGGCCTTTTTATCTTGATGATGATCAAATCAATCTGCATGATGCCATGCATTAAATGATCTCATTTTAAGGACCTTTGCAAGGAATGAAATTGAATGTACCTCGTTTGCATTTGTTTGAGAACACAGAAAAAAACTGTAAAAACATTGAGAAATATTACGGCCAGAAGTGGAATGTTATTATTGCTTCAGGGGCAGGAGTCATTTGGTTTTAAAAGTCCAGCCCAACTGGCAGCTCAATTTGAGTGGCTTGGTTTGGAAACAAATTAAAGAACATGAATTAGGACAATGTCATCTTGTTTTTAGCGCATTTTCTCATTTATGGAAAAAATGCACTATTGTGCTTGCCATGTCCGTCTGTCTGTCTGCCCGTCCGTCCGTGACCTCAGTTTTTGTCGACAAGAAAATGCGCTCTCTGTCACTCACTGCAGCGAGTACTAGGTTATATTTATTGAGAAATTTCTGTTGTCTACTTGCTTGCAGCAGTTTGCAAAAGGTGCCACTTTGTGCTAAAAAAAGACATTGTAATGGCCATTAATGAAAGATGGTGAGAAAACAAGCAAACAGTTCTTTCAGCATGCTCTTCAAATTCCCTAGCTCTGCCAATAGTGTGGTTGCATATTGATGGTGTAAGTTGCAAAAGGATGAGTACAACGCCCGCGTGAATAGCAGCCACACTGGAGTTCAATGATGCAGTAATATACTGGTAGTCTAGTACTAGAAATGATTCAGTCTTGGTGACGTGACAATGCCTTCCAATTTCCTGTTAGTGTTTCAGTTCATATTTCAAAGTTGAGAAGTTTTTGTCGCATATAATTTACTGACCAGGATGATTTTCCTGTTACAAAGACATCATTACATGAAATTGTTTACTTGCACCTCACCATATTGCTACTGCATTTGTCTACTTGCTTAGTCAAATGCTAGTCTGCCTTGTGGCTAGGGTACCTACTACTACTGCTACTGCCTACTACTTGGTACTAGTTCTACTTCTGAGCTGGCTGTAATTTTAATACCTAATGGATTAAATATTAATTTGTGAGGCATGGCTATTAATAGCATCAATGTAAGATTGCATTTGAACACTTTTTATTTATTTAAAATTAGTCAAGTGCCAATCAGCCTAGGGTAGGGGCTAGGCTACTACAACTACTTGGTACTAGTTCAACTTCTGAGCTGGCTGTAATTTTAATAACTAATGGAGTAAATACTGACATGTTACCAGTATTATTATTAGTCAAACGGGGTAAGACAGTATCACAGACTTCATGGGGTAAGAAAGGACCAGCCCATGGCATGCATTCTAATTGCACTAAATTTAATTTGAAGGAAGAATATGTTAGAGAAATCATTGCATGTCATTTCAGTATTTGTTTCAACCCTCTTTTGCAACTAATGAATTTCTGGCTAATTTTTAAAGAAAACCTATGTAAAGAAGGGTCACAAAATAGTTAACCCTATTTGGGAAATAAGCTCTGTCAAATGCCAAAAAAATTTTGGCCAGGTTTGTGGATGTAGGCAGGTAACCTCAAGTAATAAGCAACTTTTGAGACACACTAGGCACTTCTACATGCTACCATCACTGCCTGACATGTATTCTAAAATGGGGTAAGACGGGACCACTAAATGATCCTGTTTTGCCCCACAAGTGGTCCTATCTTACCCCACAAATGGTCCTCTCTTACCTTACAGTTTATCAAAAATAGTTTTTAAATGAATATATTATTGTGCAGTACATGGAGTATGTTGGTCAAAATTTTTATCTTTTGCTCAAACTTCATTATAACTTGTTAGCTGTTTTAATTAGAGAAATTGAGTGCACTATTTTACATAGCATCAAAGGGATAGATAAAATAGGGATGTCTCTTCCCATTAGTGAGCTGCAGAACTATGTGCAACATTGGCTGGGGGAAAAGCCGTTGTGTGAAACATGAAAAATAATTATGATCACAACTCTGTGAGAGGGCATGAGCTATGTTTGAAGAAGTGCACCACAAATGCAGTTAGCAAGAAAACACATGATGTCTGAGACTCAAGTTATTATCCATTGGTTTTATTATCAATTTGATAAATTTTTCAGACAATGACATTATGGCACTAATGAAATATACATGAAGCATTTAGCAGTGCTCTACAATGAATCAAAGCCAACCCACTATTACTATGCTCAAAAAAGTTTCTCGTGACAAAAACCCCAATGTGACTGATATTAGAGTTGACTTCCCGCAACACAAAGCAGTAACAAGTGGTTGTTTAATCAAATAATGTGTTTCTAGATGGATAATATTGGATATCAGTTTTGTACTTTTATTAAAAACTTTGTAACATAAGAATTACCTGTTGGTCCTGTCTTACCCCAGCCTGGTCCCATCTTACCCCAATGGGGTAAGATGGGACCAGCTCACTTTTTTCAATCTGTACAGAAAAATGTGTTAGATGCAAAATGTCTGAGTTGTAGCTTAGAAGCCCATTGCATAAATACACCTTGTAATAGGTTTCGGGTTTTTTAGTTATTCATGGTATATATAGATGCTACAGGCTTGTTAGTGATTTTGGTCCTCTTAGAGGTAGGTAGTAGGTACCGTCAAATGTTGTACTAAGGGAAATTTTTTTTTGTTGATAACTTCTAACCATGAAACATTTCATAAATAAGTTTGGCTATTTTCAAAGGTCTTTGCAAGGGCTATTGTATGGCATCTGTGAAAAATTTCATATGCAATTAGTAAGGTGCCAGAAGTAAAAAAAAAACATCCCAAATTACCTCTGGGAACAGGGTAATCAGAATCTGAGATACTTGAAATGAAACTAAATTTGAAAACGTTTGAAGCATGCAGAGTGTACCTACTCATCCATCACTAACAGTACTCTTAAGTCCACCCCTTAATTTGTAGATGTATAATAAATGATGTTTTCTGTGATTTTGTATGCCAGAGTGACTTGGGATCCACTGGAAATGTACTTCTCCCCTAGGAAGTTGAAGAAGATAATGGTGAATAGTGGCAATAAAGTGTGAATGGAATGTGGAATGGTTGCAGGAGGAGCTTTAGGGGAGATAAACTGACAGTGCAAATGAGTGCTGGCTGCTGGGAGTGTGCAGTTGACTAACTTGACCAATAGGTATTTCACAGCTTGTAGGATGCCATATAGCTCTGCAGACATGATTGAGTGGCTGGGATTGAGGCACCATCCCGTGTGGTGGGCTACAGATGTCAGAGTGGATAGCTAATCCCACAATCAGAATGCCTGATTGTGGGGTCATGGCAGTATACTCTACTAGTGCCACTATACTGCAAAGCTGGACTGCTACTGCCAGAAATTCACCGCAACCAATGCACAGCTTCTACACCACCCCAGCTTCTACACCACCCCAGCTTCTACACCAACCTACAGCCCAGTGCCCACCAAGCACACCTCCTCCAGTCCTCCACAGGCGGTCCAAATTCCTCCACATTGCATTAATGATCATTTTGCAGCCAGCCCCCACTAACTGCCTCTTTTCACACAAGCTATGGACATTCTTGCATGTTACCAAATAGCCCTCCTGACCTCCCTGCCTTTGCCACCATGGTGGCAGGGAATTATTGTGAGTACTTATGCGTTTGCAAGAGCATCGACCGGTCCGGCTCAGCGGGGGTTGGATGCATTCAAATTCAAATTCGGTCCACCACGCCCCACAGCCAGTGTAGCTGTCAGCTGACTTTCTTCAGAAGTGCAAAAGCTTTTGCCGGTGAAGGTGTTTTACGATCGGTCCGTAAAGAAGCGTTGATCGGTTCAAAATGACATAAGAACAGGTTCTTTTGAATAACCTATGGATTGCCACCATGTTTGCCACACACCACAGGCCTTCCTCCATGAGGTGGAAGAAGCGCTGCCATTGGTCTTCCATGAAATCTGTGCCACTCGTTTTCTGGGAATCTGGGATACTGCCATGTATACACAATACACTGATGGCTCTGCTCAGTAGCAACCCGCAATTTGTGACTGTGGGCACCAGATTAGCTATCCCATCTGTAGCCCATCACAAGGGGTGGCGCCTCACTCCCAGCCACTCAATTGACTTGATCATCTCTACACTCTACAGAGCTATATGGCATCCTACAAGCAGTGAAAAAGTGTGATAAATGAGCAATGTTGCCAAGTGAATAAAACTTTGAATTTGAGGAATGAGCTTATAAAATGAATTAAAGGCAAGCAGAACAAGAATGGAGTAAAGGGTAGAGAAATCTTTTCCTCATTTACAAGTTGCAAGCAAGACGGTATAAGTGGCCATCAACCACAAATAGAGCTTCCCCCCCATTTCCGGAACCGCAAGATTTCTGCCAGATAAATTACCTCATATCTAATTGTTAACAAAATTGCACAATTGGGCCATGAAATTCCAAATGTATTAAAAATTTGTCACCTTGGAGCATAGTGACAAACCAGAGATTTTTTAGAATCAGTTCATTTTTAATTTCCTCATTTACCCAAGATTTAAACCAATTTCTTATGTATGATGAAGCTGGTATCCAGGATACTTTACTGGTCTACTTATAGGACTCAAAAATGAACTTGAGGGAGTGTCTAAAAAACTCCCTGCTTTGCCACTATGCCTTGGAGCTGCGAAATTTCAGAAATAAGTAGGAAAATTCCAATCCTGATACTCCACAAAATTGCATTGTGGGTGGCCTTGAAGTGGCCTGTGCTGTCTCATGTCTGTGCGGTAGCTAGCTGCTCCTCTTCAACATGCATGAACTTGCAACGTGTGAAGAGGCAGAAGAGGGTCAAGGAGCCACAACTGGCTCCCGTGTCTTGGTCTGCCCAAACAAAAATTTCTGATGAATTGGAAATGGTGGTTAGGCAAGGAAAAAAATTAGCTATGAAATTAGACAAAAATTCTAAATGCAATGAAACATTATCAATGAGACAATGACAGAAGTTTGCAAATCATAGCAAAAAAGTACCTACTATGTTTAGTTGGTGCAAACTGTAAAATGCCAATTGTTGCCAGTTGCTTGCTTTGAGTAAGATGCAATTAGGATTATTGAAGAAAAATCTTGCAAGTTGCAACAAAGCAGGAATAAATTCTTAAACGTATCAAAGAATATCAAAGTCGCGATAATTACGGACTTTATTATTAGGTAGCGCGGGTTTCAAGTGAAAAGGAACAGGATTCAATACTTCATTATCGGATTCTTCACTTGCACCTTGCCTTAGTTGCCAATGAAGATAAGGTGAATTAGATGATGTACCTGAAGTGCACTGAAAGAGGTAAGTTGCCGGAGCCAAAATAGTGGTAGGCCTAACAGTCACTA